TTCAGGAATCTCTCTCTCTCTCTCTCTCTCTCTCTCTCTCTCTCTGTATACTGTTTCAGTTGATAACAAGAATGGTTTGCATATAACTGTTTAATCCAAAAAACTAGTAAATATCATAGTGATGTGTGGGATTTTGACATAGCACTTTGTTATTTGCACGAGCACAGTAGGTGATCGAGTTGCACATGAGGTGTTTGGTAAAATGTCGAGGTTTCTGGTGTTGATTGAGTTGCACACTAGGTGTTTGAAAAAAATGTCAATTTGCAATATGGGTAGTATCAAATGGCCTGACATTGTTTTGTAACTCTGTTTGGTGGGCTGGACTGGATGAGATTTTTTCAATTAAAATGGACATGGGTCCTATCCGTTGTTTGGTGGGCTTATTATGTATCATGGACTGGATGTGGTTATTGGACACCCGATATCCGAAAGTGCCGAAATTCGAAATTTCTGATAAAATTCGGATCGGAATCGGAATGTATTTGTAAATTTTGAAAATTCCTAATTTCCGATCCGAAAATTTCCGAAGTTCTCCAAACCCTTTCCGATCCGATTTTTCCGATTGTTTCCGAAATTTTCCGAATTTATAATAATATTTTATGATTTATAAGTTTAATTGCATTGTTTTTAGTTTATAGGTCATATATATGTTTAATTTCTTATTTTGTTATATTTAAGTGCCCACCAACATACAAATATTCATATATACATGTATACTAAACATAGGAGTATATATTACTTTAACACTGTATTTTTGGCTAACATTTTTGTTTGAATATTACAAATATTCATATGTGTGGTTATCATATCCAAATATACTATATAACAACAATGCATGTATACTTAAGTATTATATGTGTATCTATTTTTTGTTATAATGTACGTGTATATATAAAACAAACATACATGTATGCATCATAATTATACACATGCCTATATATACTTAAGTTTATTATATATACATATATGTGCATGCATATCACTTTAAGATTATGTATTTTTTACTATACTATATAACAAAAATGCATATGTGTGCTTGTTATCTATGAATCATGATAGGAGTATATGTGTGCTTATCTAGAGCAATACTAAATTATTTTTCCATTAAATTGTCATTAGCTAATACCACGTGAAATACTTTTATTTGGTTTTAGATGTACATGTATATCTATTTTTTTGTTACAATGTATATGTATACATTAAACATAAAAGATTTCCCAAGTTACATTTATACAAACCAAGATTAAACATACATTTAATTATATCAAACATAAACTATCTCTTGTTATAAAACTAGATTGGGAAAATATGGAGAGAAATGATATGCTAAGGATAAAGTTTCACCATGTTTATCGTTCTTAATCTTTGGTAGAACCACCTATTTATAGGCTTACAAGATAGGAGATTGAATACCATTATTTACAATATACTTATAGGTTACAAGCACTAATTACAAATACTTAGTGCATAGGTTACATAAAATCCAACGGTGGAATACTAAGAGGTATGGTGGTCATCCACCAACTTATGCATTTATAACACTCCCCTTTGGATGTCCACCATACAATAACATAGTTCCCTCATTAAAAACCTTGCTTGGAAAACCCAGTGGGACAAAACCAAAGCGAAGGGAAAAAGAGTGAAACTTTATTCTGGATCATTGATATGGTGTTGGACGTAACACTTCCCTTTGGATGTCCACCATACAATAACATAGTTCCCTCATTAAAAACCTTGCTTGGTGTTTGTGCCTGATAAATCACGGCCATAGGCTGGCCGAAGAAGCCCCTTCTCTCGGCCCTGGCACTTGTTCGTAAAAACTGAAACGCAACGTTTCGCCAGGGTACTTCGCCTTCCTAAAGACAAAAGAAGAAATGCTAAGGCATGATCATCTCGGCCTCAAGCGCAGGCCGAGGCCGAGGCCGAACAAAATCACGGCCCAGGCATTAAAGGCAAATCATCACGTGACAGCAGGGTCCTAGGCTTCATTTAATGAAGTAGTGCCTGTTTAATGCAGCAAACTCATTGGCCACAAAGAAGCATTTAATGCATGAGGGAAGGTGGGAAGTGACTGAAGTCAGGATTTGGTGATAAGGATCAGAGTGATTAGACGTGGACATTCTCACAAGAATTCTGACAGCCTGAGATATTGGTTCACCAGCTATCCAGGCCATAAATGCGTCTCCACGGCCAGAATTTCTTAATTGTCTTTTTCATAACATTTACGTAGTCAATGCATATTCAACTTTCCACTAAAACAAAATATAAAAGTTTGACCTCTCTTCCTTCTAGACAAGTATAAACTCGGAAATTCATCTCATGGCTACCATATTTTCCAAAAATAAATAATTTTAATATCAATTTTTCAGCTCCACAAGATTTTTTATAAAATAAAACGTTAGACCTTTATACAATTCATCACAAAAATGCCAGCAAAGGCATGACATCAAATCAATTGATTAACCATATATATAAGCAAGTTAATCAGCTGAGCTTTTCATTGCCGTCATCTTTCTTCATCTCCACAAATGAAGAGACCAGCAGAACTTGTGTTCATCCCAGCCGCAGGGATTGGCCATGTTGTGTCCACAATTGAGATAGCAAAGCTCTTAGCTTCTCGTGATGACCATCTCTTCATCACACTTCTCATCATGAAACGACCCTTTGACAAACTCTTCACAAACACGGACTCTTCAATCTCACCACGCATCAGCTTCGTCAACCTCCCCGAAACAACAGATCTCTTCGTCGAAAATCAGAAAACCCAAGTCAAAGATGCCGTCGCTAAACTCGTTGAGTCAAATCAGTCTGGCTCCTCAAAGCCCCAGCTCGCCGGGTTCGTGGTTGACATGTACTGTACCACCATGATTGACGTGGCCAATGAGTTTGGGGTACCTTCTTACGTGTTCTTCACCTCCAGTGCTGCGTGTCTCGGGCTCTTGTTCCACCTCCAGACGCTTTGGGACGAGCATGGCAAGGATGTGGCAGAGTTTATGCACTTGGATTCTGAGTTGGTCGTCCCGAGTTTTGTCAATCCTCTACCTGCTAGCCAGTGGCGAAGCCAGGATTTCATGAGTCTGGGGGCCTCTCACAAAATATAAATAATAAAAACTTTGAACTCACAAAACATCAAAACATCAAAAATCATATTGTCTATAGTGTCTATTCATTACAATCATAATTGTCCAAGTTAACTTCCGTAGTTTGGTTTGAACTACTTTCATTTTTCTTTTGACTCTTTGCAGGCGATGACTCCACTAACTTAGACTTTGATTTTCTTTTGAAAAATAAAAATCTTTCCATAACTGAAACACATATATGAACTAAATTTAAATTGAAACAATTATGAACATCTTCTCAAACTTATAAACTAGGTGATGACTCCACTAACTTAGACTTTGATTTTCTTTTGAAAAATCAAAATCTTTCCATAACTGAAACACATATATGAACTAAATTTAAATTGAAACAATTCTGAACATCTTCTCAAACTTATAAACCAAAGCAAATTGAGCATTCAATTCAAAGCAATATATTAATCAAATCAATAGAGAATCATATATATAGAAATTTATAAATTAAAATTAAAATTTCACCAACACAAGTTCACAACTACATTAAAGGGATAAACAATTACATACTACGCAAGAAAAATTACAAGGGATAGACAAATACATACTTGGAGTTGAATAGTGATTTACTAAATATCTCCAAAGCTTTTTCCCTTTGGTAATCTTTACATAAATTGAAAGACCCATTAAAATCAATAGAAATAAAAAAAAAACTTGATAATATAATTAGAATTTGAGAAGGAAAAAAACTCATAAGCACCTGGCTGGTCTGGTCGTGTTTCTGACTCGGGAAAAGAGAAAAGGGTTTAGGTTTATTGATTTATACAATAAGTCAATATATAATAATAATAATAATTCTAATCCTTTTAGGAATAGGTAATGTATGATTTTAGGTTTTTAGGAATAGGTAATGTATGATTTTAGGTTATTTGGCTTGGCTGGTAATAGGGCCCACGTTGAAATCACTTTTGGCTGAAATCTACTTTGCTGCTGGACCACGCCACTATGGCTTAACTTTGGCTGAAATCTTCTTTGGCCCATATGGCTTCTAAATATGTAGCCAAACTCCAGAATACTAGTACTAATTTTTTTTAAAATAAAATTTCAGTGGGGGCCAGTGACTGCACTGGTCCCCATGTGCCTCCGTCACTGGTGTTGGATGCGCTTATGTTGCCTCGTTAAAACCTTGCTATGAAAAATTCAGTTGGACAAAAACCTAATATAAGGGAAAAGAGTACAACACGCATATGTGTTGTATGTGGTAGAACTAGGATACTCCCCCTGATTGATATCTCCCATTGATTTTCAATAACTTTTGGCATATAGATTTCGGAAAAGCTTTGGCTAAAAGGTTCGCCATATTATCTTGTGAACAAATTTGTTTGACTCAAATCTCTTGACTTTTTTCTAAAACTGTCACCTTTGATGAACCCTTCTCTGATTTGAGCAATACAAGAAACATTGTCTTCATACATGATCGTTTATCACACTATTCGACTTGTCTTTCACTTTTCAAATGATTGAACTCTTTAGTAGCATCAACAACTAATCTAATAGTTAGAAAATGTTACAACAATATTAAATTTGAATTCAAAATACTCAAACTCTTAGTGTTAACTCTTAATCAAGAATATCGTGGTACTTTATATCCTTCAAGGGGTTGCTTCATGCGATATATCTCAAATATTTCATGAGCTTTGAGGATCTTCATGTACCATACAGTCTTAATAAATATGCATTTAACACATGCTATAAGTTTTGCCTTAAAATAACAAATGTACTTATAGAAATGTGGATGCATCTACGATAAGATGGGAGACTAAAGCCATGTCTCTACCAGGAAACCTTATGTCATATTAGTGATCTTATTTCACTTCACAAACACCAATCCGTAATCTTCATACTTAACATTTGTAATTTGGTGTTTGAGTTATAGGTTCAATATCCCACCTTTCATATTTAGTGATAAATGGAATTGCCTATTTCCATTTTTTGGCCAATCCCTTAACTTGTCGATATTCATAAGGCGAGATTTAATATAATCACAGCCCTTGATGATTGTAGTAGCTACTAATAAACCAAATGTATCATCAATTCGTGATCCCATAATTCTCATGTGCATGCGCATGCATAATTTATAAGCATCTCATTGCTTTGGGGTACCAATGCCTCTTCAGAGGCTTATGTTGTCACTTATGGGACAAACATCTCTTTTACGATGAATTATTTAGAATATGTGGATCATAACCTCTTATATAGCGTTATTTTTTTTATAGGGCATGAATTTTTCAAATAATCTCCACTTCTGAGAGATAAGTCTTTAGAACCTATATTTCTGTCATGCTCCAAGCATGCATTATATATATAGTTATCATGTTAATGGATTGTGATACGAGAATATCAATCCATGTTAGCATATGTATAACTTATATATGCATTAACCTTTGATGAGACAAAAGCGGACCGATTCAACACTATTTCACGACGTTCTTTATAGGGCATGAATTTTTCAAATAATCTCCACTTCTGAGAGATAAGTCTTTAGAACCTATATTTCTGTCATGCTCCAGGCATGCATTATATATATAGTTATCATGTTAATAGATTGTGATACAAGAATATCAATCCATATTAGCATATGTATAACTTATATATGCATTAACCTTTGATGAGACAAAAGCGGACCGATTCAACACTATTTCACGACGTTCTTCAGGAACTGCCATTACTCCCCCTAACGGCGGGAAAATTGTTTCAAAATTTAGGAAAATAAACTCATCATTATTATCAAGTCAAATTGACTGGATTGGATAATGTGGGAGTTGTGCTCATAAGCATCTTGACAAGAGACAAATATGTGACAATTTTAGTAAGCACATTCAATAAAATTGGTGAAGTGATCCATAATTAAATATTGTATGGGCTCACAAATATCCCGTTGAATTATTTAAGGAAAGAGGGCTCAAAGTCAATTTTTGACTGAGATGATTTTATGACAGCTTTTATTTGTGAACATTCTTTGTAATGATATTTGTTGGACAAAACAATAGTTTGAGTCTTTAAACGATGTCCTTACAAATTTATAAAAATCTTATGTATCATTGTAGAACATGGATTGCCAAGATAGTCATGCCACAACATAAAAGTTATCAGATCAATGAACTTCTGGTTTATGACATCATAATGTTCAACTACTGTAATAATTGTGTAAAATTGGGGTCTCATGAACTTCTAGTTCATAACATCATAAACTTCCTACCCACAAAAGAAAATAGCAAGTTTCTCCAATAGACGCATCTGACTGTCAATATTGGGGCGGTAATACAAGACATTACCATTGTAAAACAAAATTAACTAATAACCCAACATAAATAAAATGAGTAAAGTGGTATAAACGAGGAATAAAATAAATAAATTAAAGACTATGAAATTCCAAAATAATCCAATATTAATGTGGATTCAATATGTAGATAAAACTACAAGTTTAAGAATTGGATTTCCAACCAATTCAGGTTCATATAGGCACAAATAAGTAATGAATTTCAGGTTCATATTTAGGATCCATGAAAAACTATGAACTTCAGGTTCATATCAACATATATTCGAAACTTCAGGTTTCAATACGTAGATCTAAATAAATTGAATTAATAGTTGTGCTTTGAACTTCATACTCAAATCGATGTATATGCACTCGAAACTTCTGGTTCAGGTTCTTGACATATGTAGGCCTCATAGAATATTTGATTTTGATTAATACAAAATCAAGGAGTTTCATGTCCTTATGTGCTCTTTAAATTCCCGGAATTTCACGCCCTCAATTATTTGGAATCAAAGAACTTTAGGTTCTAATTCAATCAAAAGGACTCGAGGTCCTAATCTAGTTATATAATGAGGATCGAGGAACTTCGGGCCCTGATCTTTTGTATAATACAAACTCATCGTAACATATTGTAATGAATTAAAAACATGCGTGCTGATAACGTGTTATAAAACTAGATGGGGAAAATATGGAGAGAAATGATATGCTAAGGATAAAGTTTCACCATGTTTATCATGCTTAATCTTTGATAGAACCACCTATTTATACCACCTATTTATAGGCTTACAAGATAGGAGATTGAATACCATCATTTACAATATACATATAGGTTACAAGCACTAATTACAAATACTTAGTGCATAGGTTACATAAAATCCAACGGTGGAATACTAAGAGGTATGATGGTCATCCACCAACTCATGCATTTATAATATATCTCCCTATATAAATTAAATATACATATAATTATAAGTAATGGTGTTATCTACTATACTACTATTTCCCTTAAAATGTTCATAAATTTTTTTTAAAGATGAAATAAGATTTAATAAATAAAAGTTACATAAAAACAAAATCATAATTTAAACAAGTGCATTCATTGTTAGTTAATATTAACATATTAAAAATTATATAACATTTTTAGTTGGGTCACACATTTTTAATCGTGCAACTCTTATTCATGATAAGGTTTATATAACATTTCCAACAAAAACAAAAAAACAAAAAAGTTTTATATGCCAGCAGCCCAGTTACTTTTATCCCAGCCCATTTCGCAGCAGCCCAAATGCCAAATCCCAACCCTAACCTAATCCCCTATTTCTTTATATCTCCACCGCCGTTTATTTTCTTATTATTGTTTCTGTCTTCTCTCTTCTTACGTCCCCCCACCTTCTCTTTTCCTGTGTCTCCAAAACCCACCCAAATCACCTCTCTTTTTCTCTCCGTTTTTCTATCTTCCTCCCAAGTTCTCTGGTTCTCACTCTTTCTCCCTCTAGTTCTCTATCTTTGGCTCTCTCTCCCTCCCTATCTTTCTCTATTTTCCCCTTCAAAGTCGCAGATCTTCATCCCCTTCAATTGGGTTCAATTGTGTTTAATGTGGAGGTTCTATTTGGTTTGACAGTGTTGGTTCAATTGGGTTTGACGTGGTGGTTCAATTGGGTGGTGGGTGTGGTGCTCGCCTGAAAACACAGATCCTGAAAATATAGAAAACGACTTTTGTGTGTTTTCAGTCATGAAGGCATAAATTTGGAGTAGTGTGTTTTTTTTCTGGTATGAAACTGGAATTCCATTAAAACGCCACAGAAAAAGCTAGAGCGGATTCAGATTACAAGTGTATTCCGAAAAGTTCCGATTTTTCCGATATATCCGAAATTTTGGAATCGGAATAAGATTTGAAATTCCGAAATTTTTCGGATTGGAATTCGGAACACTAGTTTCCGATCCGTTCCGTTCCGATCCGTTCCGGCCGAATTACAGGCCTATGTTTATTGCACCAAACAACTGCTTCAAATCCAGTCATATCTAAACCAGTCCAGTCTAGCCTACCAAACGGGGCCGCCTTGTGGCTGGTCTTGGAGGCATTTTTTTGTCAACAACTGAAAGTGTATTCTTTGAATTAGAGAGGTGAAGTGAGATGGCCACTGGTGGTCTAAAGAGCCTGTTGTCCACGGCAATCACTACTGGGGTGACTGAGGCTAGGGCGAGGATATTCGGGCACATACTCAACCCAACAGGCCAGAAATCTGCCCATAAGATTTTACGCAAGAAGTTGATTGGTGAGAAAGTTGCCCAGTGGTACCCATATGACATCAAGAAAGATGACCCCCAAATCATGGCTATGGAAGAACAAGAGTACACTCTCTTCCCCTCCCTCCCTCTAATGTCTACTGACCGTCTGCTTTTTATGTTTTGCTGTTGTATTCTTTCATCAATACGGAACTTGCAAATTCCGAAGAATATCATGATATTTCCTTAGTTGTGAAAATTACATATCGGAAGGTCAGCACTTTTGTATTTTATTCATAGAATATGGAAGCAGAAGAGTAATATTACAATGTTACTTCCTTAGTTGGCTGCTCTGTCTGTACAAATGAGTGAACATCTTAGTAAGGCATGCTTCATAGGCAACTGAATACTTATTATGAAATTAGAACAGCTTCCTTTTCTGCCTCTCATTTGAGTCTTGCAGGCTAGTTTTTGATCTAGTGTAGTTTCATCATGACTGCTTTGCTACATTAAGTAACCAGAATATAGCTTGTGATGGTTTCATGATTTGTATAATCAGAACTGTAAGTAGTTTTTGGTGACTGTATTCCTGATGCATCTCTACTTGGCATCTTTCTAGGCGATTATCCAAGCTTGAAATGTTGAAGCGTCGAGGAAAAGGACCACCCAAGAAGGGTCACGGAAGGCGTGCTGCCAAGCGTAACAAAAAGTAGTATTTTGACATGCCAAATTGGTTCTTGAGTATTGTTTTGAATAAAAAGACTACTAGTATGGACGTTCTGTAACTTTTTGTTCTTTTAAGTTCCTTTCATTTTTCTTGCCTCACTTTGTAAAGATGATATTATTCTATCCATGGGAATATTTTGTTTAGCAAAACATTTGGCATTCAACACTTTCCAGGCTTCAGCTGATGTAAGCAGGTTTGAGATTTCAACTTATTTTGGTTTGTCAACAATCCTTGAGCAATGGATTTAGTACTGAAATCATATGCAGTTGATTTTTTACGTTTCTATGATGTTATCCAAACCGGGAATTATTGCTCAAGCAGGGGAAAATTGACACAAACCGAAACTCAGATGTCACGAAGACCGTAAAGAGGATTCCTCGAGCATAAAGCTTGACATGTATACCAGAGCTTTTGGAAACTTATAATCTAATGAATGCGACACAAATACCATATCCCATCCAACTATTAGAAGCTCAACGGTGTGTCCTGCCAGTATAAATTTTCCTTGTACCACATACTTCACAGCTTCAAAACAATGTGAAATTTTAAAAAAAAATTACAATTTTTCTTGTTACAGAGTTTGAATGGAGAAACATATGATCATGGTACCAAATCTTGAAGAAGGATTAAATTTTAGGTACCTCTCTTTTACCAATAATCTCCACATGAACAAGTTCCATTTTTAAAATGATGGAACCTTCTTACATCTCTTAAGATGATCTCCCTGTCGAGTATCTTTGAGATATACTTTGACGCCATGTGGCAGTCGTTACAGACTCTAAGGTTCTTGGCAACTCTAATGGTAGTCCCAGGACGGGTATTGAGAATGCCGAATGCTAGTGCCAGTTTTTCACTGTGCCCACAGAGTAGAGTTTCTTTCTCCTCCTCATCAACATTGTGAAGTACACAAGAAGTATCAGGCACATAACCCTCCCTTTTCATCTTCTCTGACAGGGTTTCGAGAAATTCATGGAGCTGTTCACTTTGTGGATGTGACAAATCTCCAGCCAAAAACTTATGAACCTCATCTCCAAACTCAATCCAACTACAACCAGGCTCTTTCTTCACTCCCATTTCCTTCATCTTTCTCCGAACATCCATTGCCTTATCCCAAAGCCCAGAGGATGAGTATATATTTGAGAGTAGAACATAGTGACTAGCCACACTAGGCTCCAACTCCAGGAGTTGATTAGCTGCAATTTCCCCAATCTCTACATTCTGATGAATTCGACAAGCGCCAAGCAAGCTACTCCAGGCACCTGCTTTATCAAGCTCAGAAGGCATGGTGTTGACAAGTTGATATGCTTCCTCCACACTACCTGCCCGGCCAAGCAAATCCACAACACAAGCATAATGATCTGTTGCGGGTTCAACCCCATGGTCACTTTTCATTTTGTGGAACAAATTTAATCCTTCATCTACCATCCCAGAATGGCTACATGCTGCAAACAGTGCAATGAAAGTAACTTCATTAGGTCTTACCTCTTTATTCCGACTTCCATCATCCACCATATTCTTAAATAGTTCTAAGGCTTCCTCCCCTCTCCCATGCATCCCATAAGCCATGATAAGTACATTCCAGGTGATCACATTCTTTATTGGTATATGATTAAACACAGCTCTAGCTAAATCTATGCAGCCACATTTGGCATACATGTCAACCAGTGCACTTCCTACTGCAACATCAAATGCCAACAAATGTTTAATAGCATAAGAATGAATCTCTTTGCCCTTAGCAAGTGCTGCCAATGCAGCACAACCTGGAAGAATTGTCATGAATGTTATAGAATTTGGCTTAAGAGGAACCCTTCCTTCATCATCATAAGCATTATCATTCATGTTCGTTTTCACTTTCACTCTCTGCATGTCATATATCAGATTAAGTGCATCACCATGGCGTCCACAGATAACATAACCAGTGATCATGGTGTTCCAAGACACTATGTCTCTTACCTCCATGCTGTTAAATATAGTTTCTGAAATTTGTGTCTTCCCCATCCTGGAGTACATGTCCATAAGTGCATTTTGCACATACCTGTTCTTCTCCAGACCCCTCTTTATTACATAACCGTGGATACTTTCTTTATCAGAGAATGCTTCACACCGCACGCTGGCTGGCACAATACTTGACATTGTGGTAGAATTTGGAGAAAGCCCAGAGGCAGCATACATTTCAAGGAACAGGTTCAAGGCCTCCTTGTCGTACTCATTTTGTGCATAACCAGTAATCATTGCATTCCAAAGTGCAATTTTCCTCTCCAAGACAGCATTAAAAACACGACGACCACTTGAAACTTGTCGGCAATTGCAATACATGTCAACTAAAGCACTACCCACATAAGAATTCTCAATCAATTCATTGGTTCTCAAGGCATAAGCATGTATTTCCTTCCCTGTGTCTAACATCTCCAGATGAGAACAGGCAGGAAGAACACTTGCAACTGTGACCCCATCAGGTTTAAATCCTGCAAGAACCATAAGGCGGAAGAACTCTAATGCTTCCATAAACTGGTCATTCTGAGATAATGAACTTATCATCGTGTTCCATGAAACCATGTCACAGTCCTCATACAACTCAAACAAAGCTCTCGAGTATTCAGCTTCTCCTAATTTAGAATACATTGCCAATAAAGCATTGATTGTAAATGTTTTGCACTCACTCATTCTCACACTATACGCATGAACTTGCTTTCCAAGCCGCAAACCATCACGCTTGAGCAAATTAGAACAAGCAAGTGCCACACTCACCAAAGTAAAGGAGCTAGGCTCCATATTCTCCATTAACATCGACCTAAACGACTCAAGAGCGAGTTCCCATTCCTCAAACCGACACAAAGCAGCAATCATCGAATTCCAAGAAACTTGATCTCTCTCAATTATTCCATCGAACACTTTGCATGCATCTCCTATATCCCCACATTTGCCATACACATTTACAAGTGTATTAGCCACGGTCACTGAAGATGATCCATACCCAAATTTCACGACATGGGCATGAATCTGCTTCCCCAAATTCAAGTCCTGAAGGCTTGTAACGGCCTTGAGAACTGCCGGGAAAGCAAAGTTGTCGGGTGCTATACCCGAAAGAGTCATTTCGATGTACGTTAAAATGGCTTCTTGGAAATGATTGGACCGGGTTTGGGAACGAAGGGTTTCGATCCATGAGGCCGGAGTGCCAGAATGGGATATGAGTTTTGGCGGAGAGGTGGTGGTGGTGGGTTGGTTGAGTATAGAAGATTGCTTGAAAGTGTTTCTTTTCAGAGTTGTGGGTTGTTGGATTTGGAGGGAAGAAAGTGTTTGTGAATAAGGTAAGGGTCCAGAGAGAGGTGAGAGCAGTTGAGTGTAGGAGGACATTTGGTAGTTATTACAGTTGGAGCAGCTACAGGATTAGATAGGAGTTCTAAAAGAAAAATAGTTCTATAGTTGTTCATGTTTTGAACAAGTGATAGGGGTTGGGCCCACTGACTGGATATTCTATCTTCTCTCTTCATCATCTTTTTTTCATGTGATTAAATTTTAAGAAATTCTCAAATTTTATTTTGTTGTTTTGTGTTTCATTTCTGAGTTTTCTACTGAGATGAGATTCATAAATCAAAGAGAGAGAGACCTTAAGTTATGCTATTGCTTGCTCACTTGCTTTCCCAGAATTTTGTTCTCTCTCATCACCATTTGATGAATTCATACTCATAATCATCAGTGCTTGATCATTTCTTCCAACCAGTTGCTTCATCAATCATTCAAAGATAAAGAAACAACTCTTGACATGAATTAGATGAAAAAGAAATAATCTGTCAAGATAGGCAATTGAGGTTTCCAATGAATGGGTCTGTAAATTTTTGAGCTTCCAAGGGTAGATTACATTACATTACATATGAGAAAAAGTACAAAGGGCCTGCCAAACTGGATACAATTGAAAAAGAACTTAAAGAGGGGAGCCTTGACTTCATAAACTCTTGCTTTAATTGAAGTGAAACACATTGAACATGCAGAACCATTCTTTCACATGTGGCTGCATACTTTTAACAGATAGCTGCATATTTTTAACGTGTGGCTTCATATTTTAAAGGTGCACTCTTATGTAACCTTATGTCAAATGCTTTGCCCACCCTTTAATGGCCCCCACCCTACTGTAAGGATTTTTTTTATTAAAAAAATATAAAAAATAGTCTAAACTACACGGATGATGGAGTTTCTCACACATACACTCATCAAGGTGTTATATGGGTTCAAACTTGAGATCACTAATTAGTAAATAAATGTCATTTTTCACTGGACTAGACGCACAAATATGGAATTGAAGCGGCAAAATTTGGCCTTTTCCCCCAATAGATAAATATAAATATTTGAGTAAAAACTTTAAGTTGACGCGGTAAATAATGGCTAACAGCACATCAGCCTGTCATATTCACACTTGCAGGGAGGAGAAGAATGAATTGCTTAACTTTGTCTGTTTAGTTGAGAGATACAATGAACAAAACTGAATAAATTTTCAACCTTTCGTTATCTTGCTTTTCAAAGGTTTGGGCTTGCAGGTCTATACGGCCATTTCCAGGATAAAAACAAATTGGGTAGGTTCATTTTCTGAATTTAAAGCATGGCTCTCGCTCTTTCCAGTCCAGAAGGCCATTGAGAGAGAGAGAGAGAGAGAGAGAGGATGGAGCAGCTACCATCAGAATCAGATGCTCAGAATCAGATGCCATAGCCAAAGTCTCATCGATATTCATATACCCAATAAAATCATGCCGTGGAATTTCAGTTTCTCAAGCATCGGTCACTCCTACAGGTATGACCAATTCATCACTACTTGTACTTCCATTGATGATGATATTCATTTTGTTTCTTTCTTGAGGCCCCTAGAAAAATTGCAAATTTAGTATTTAAGTCAGATTATTCAATTATATTTGTTTTCATATTTGAGTTGCCCAGTTGAGTTTTCTCCCTCTAATTTTTTTTGTTTTTAATTATACATGAAATTCATTCATTTCTACAGGATTGTACCTCTGTATCCTTGAGTTGCAATTCTAATCCTTCAGTTTTGTTGGAATAAAAAGTGTAGGATAAAAACAGTGCAATCACGGTTGTTTTTTTATTTTTGCACAAGTTTACTTTTTTACCTTAATTTGTCAAACTACTCTGCTTTATTACATTATTGATGGACTCTCCTATAATTTAGTGACAAGGAATACTTGTAATTTTTAAAATTAAAATTGTTGGTTAGACTGCAAATTGCAGCCATATTCTGTTTTTCTTTTTTTTCTCTTTTTTGGAATGTACAGGATTTCGATGGGATCGGCAATGGTTAGTTGTAATTTGTAAACTACAAGGGGAGGGCGTATACTCAAAGGGTTGAACCAAAGCTTTCTTTGGTTCAGGTAGAGCTGCCGGATGAGGCATTCATAGAGTGTTGGGAACCTTCTAAAAGCTCTTATCTAGGTAAAAATATTCATTTTCTTCTATATAAAGTTTGTCTTTCCCTCTTTTAGATGCCATTTAACTGTGCTTTCTGCAGTAGAAAACTTATCATTGAGCAGGAGACGTGTGACCATCCGATTGACTCCGACTTCTTTCTCCTTTTCTAATTATCACTTTGCCACATGTGGATTTGTTTCTGGAGTTATTATGCCTAGTTGGATGTTGAAATGGAGCTTTACTCTTTTCTTTTTCTTTATTTTCCTTCTTATGATTAAAAGTGCTCACATTGTTTTGTATTCGATCTTTTATTGTCACTGTTTCTTTTCCCCTAGAGAATTTAGTTCAAAATCCAATCACCTTTTGTAGAACCTGTCACTGTAGTAAAAAGAATCACTCTGATGCAGCACTACTTCCAAACAAAGTTGTCCTCCATAATTTTGCTTAATGTTTCGGCATTCAGAGAGTTCTGGTGACTTTATTTTCTGTTAACTTAATAACGACCGTCACTTTGCAGTACTAAAAGCACCTGGCATGGATGCACTTAAGGTTTCTTTGATTGCACCTCTAGAAGTATCAAATGGGGTTTCAGTATGGGAGTGGTCTGGTTCCGCATTAGATGAGGGAGCTGATGCCTCAAAATGGTTTTCAGATTATCTTGGGAAACCCAGTCGACTTGTTCGCTTTAATACAGGTAGAGTTTTTGTGTTCTGTAAAAGGTCATTATATAGGACTTCAATAGGAAGATGCAATAGCATCCAATGTGGTGCACGTATTTCCAAACTCAAAACTAATTAATCTGGTTGCATTGTGTTCTGATGCAGCTTCAGAAACTAGGCCTGTGGAACCTGAATATGCTCGAGGACACAAAATCATGTTCTCCGACATGTACCCATACATGCTATTATCTCAGGTTAGTCAAGTTGCAACGTGAAAATGTAACTTCTTTTGCTTTCAAATAGAAGCTCCAACTTGGTTCTTGTCATTACATAATTTGCAGGGATCAATGGATGCACTAAATAACGTTTTGAAGGAACCCATACCAGTTAACCGGTTTAGACCCAAGTAATTTCTTTATTTAGTTTTCCTGTTGTATTTTTTTTCTTCTTTAATAAGCATCCAAATTCTTCAATACCATGTTTCCTGCACTTCTTATTTTCAGCAACTTGGCATTAATAATCTTCTCCAGGAACCAATACTACTCTGTACCAAAATTTTATCAGCAATGTATGTAAATAGATAATATGAATAGTTTTAAATCTTGCAAACTTTTACTTGGATGTCGCAGCATTCTTGTTGAAGGTTGTGAACCATTTTCTGAGGACTTGTGGACAGAGATCAGAATAGACAAGCTTACATTCCTGGGTGTCAAGCTTTGCTCCCGCTGTAAGGTTAAGAGTTTTACCCTTTCTGCAATTTTTGCCTACGTGGTGACAGTCAAGCTAATTTTCATAGGAACATCAATGTAATACTTGTCTCGAAATCATATATTGTAGTAGTTCCATTTTAAAATGTGTACTTTGTTTAACTAAACAGTGTCCTTTGGAGCAAACGTTGTTGGCAGCGAGCCACTTGGTAGACAAATGGGTCTTTTAACAGGCACCAAAGCTAACCTGGAACTTTCATGTCTTCCAGGTACCAACGATCAATCAAGAGACTGGCATCGCAGGAGCTGAGCCAAATGAAACTCTTAGGAAAATCCGGTCTGATAGTGTCTTGCGTCCAACTCAAAAACAGCGAGGAAAGGTGAGTAAGTAACAATTATAGGCTTTCAACCGTATTCTACCCTCCATGTCCATGCAGTGATTTACATTACATACAACATGTTAAATGGATTTCCAGGTCTACTTTGGGCAGAATCTAGTTTTCAAAGGCTCTCTTACTGGGAAAAAGGGAAATGTCTTAAAGGTTGGAGATCTTGTTTATGTTCTCAAGAAGGTCTCCTGTACTGATGAAGCAGCAGCTTGAATTTTGTAGAATATCTACTTTATCTTTGCTGTTACATGGATAATAGTATAAGAACTGCTGTCTAGTGTACAATAAATAACAAGTGAAGTGAGTTGCTTGTTAAATGCTGGTTTCTTGCTTTTTGTCTGCCAAATTATGAGGAGGGTGTGTAGGGGTGAGAGTTCCAGCTATTTCAATTCAATGTATGAGAACCAAAGTCTCCATGAATGATATATGTGTTATGTAGCCGCTTTCATATATAACAAGTAACAGATAAAAAGAACCAGGAATGCTTAGTGGATTCCTTTTTACTTATTTAAGACTCAAATGGGAGTGCATTACTTGAATGCTTAGTGGATTCCTTTTTACTTTTTCTTTTTTTTCAAAATAACAAAATTTCTGATAAGATAGCACTATTAAACCTATGATTCCTATGAAGGTTTTAACGAGGTTCATGTAATCGTGCCGGTCTTTGTATGTCTTTTATGGTTTATGAATGAAATCTTCTTCTCAAAAAAAAAAAACCTATGACCAATCAAACAAAATTATTACACAATACTACTAGACTATGCATGTCTTCATGGAAAATAGTTGTGCTCGTTACTTTTATTATTTTATGGCATCAATTCATGATAATTTTTCCCAAAAAAAAAAAAAATTCACATTAGATGATGTGAGGCCTTAGTTTAAGAGTGTAAAATCTCAGGACTGGTCAAGTACCTCACTTCTGCAAACGGGTTAAAGTGAGATTTGTTCTCAGTCGACTCTAGTTAAGGTTAAAGGCTCAGTCCATTTTGAAATTGGGCTTGCATAAGTTGGGGCCAGATATCTCCCTTGGTTGGATATATGGTGGCATTGTTTGTAGTTTTTCCGGACATAAGGGTTCATTTGTTTTGATTCAATCAAGGTTTCTGAACTGTATCCGTGGAGACTTAAAAATATAGCTAGGTGGATAAAGCAACAGTCTCACCTGCTTTCTGTAAACTTTACCATTTCTTTATGATTTTATTATCATCCTTCACCTTCACAGACTGCGCTTTACAGAAAACAAAGAAAAAGATAAGATAAATGCTAATTATATATATATATATTTAAAAGGATTTGATGCACTTCTCAGAGAGTCAGAGTTTTGATTTTCGACTGTAAAGAGAAGCTCCAAGACCCCTTTGGCTCTTTTTTTCAATACTTTGAAAAAGAAAGTTTCAATGTTGTTTCATTACAATATTATTACTCTTCTTAAAGATGGAATGGATATGGTTTTGGATAACCCTCTCTCTCTCTCTCTCTCTCTCTCTCTCTCTCTCTCTGTGGAGCCTCTTCTGTTCACAAATGCAGTCTCTGAAAACAACAATTCTGGGCTCTTGAAGCAGAATTTTCTTGGATTTTTTCTGGAAGAGAAATAAGGTATGTACCATTTTCACTTATCTAGAGGAAACTTTATTTGTACAATTTTGTTGCATACCAACATGTGTCACTGTCATCAATGTTTCATTGGTAGCCCAAGAAAAATGGCTGTGTGCAAAGCGTTTGCTATTTTTTATGTTCATCTAGGTCGAAAGCATTTCTAGTTTGGTGAGGACACCCAAAATCATCAATTATTGCACCAAAAAACAAAACCCTTTGGATTTAGCTGCTCAGCTTATAGCTTCTTCTCTTTCCTTTTTATTGAGTTAACAAAAGTTTCTTTTTCTTCATTGCTCTCTGATGAGAGATTCCTGATTCATCTTTGTCTTGGTTTTTGGAGCTCTCTCTCTCTCTCTCTCTCTCTCTCTCTCATATTTTCTCCTTTCTTTCTTTGTTGCCCTGAAAAATTCATTGCTCTTTCCAGCATTGCCAAGAAGAAAACTGAGCTACCCTTAACCAGCATTGCCAATTATGCACCCTACTTCCATCATCGTACAGGGCCCATCTCATCATATTAATCTCAAACTATGCTAATAAGCGTACCCTTTTATCTTTGTCCAGTACAAATGCCTGCATTCACTCTGCAAGACCCAACAGTTACTTCTCTGTAACTTTCAGATGCCCAGAGAAGCCATAAGCATGTGCTCGCTACTGCCACCTATATTTTTTATTTATTTTATTTATAGTTTATTTTTTATATTTTTACCTCATTTCAATATGAATATTGTTCACCCATGCAAATTATCTAGAAACCCAAAAGGGAAAATTCACACCGCATTTTCTAAGCCGCAGCGACACACTTTTCCGTTAACATGATACGTAAAATCCGGGGTACTTTTTTTTTTTTTTAACCCATCTAAGTGTTGCAAAATGACCAAAGTACCCCTATAAGGGTCCCCCAGTGTACATATTATTATGACCAAAGCAAAGGGTCAAACTTAAACCCCCATTTTCTTGAAGAAAGAGGCTATATTTTGTGTAGGCCTTGTTAGCTGCTTTGGTCTAAGCAATGACACTCCCTAGAATCCACAAACGAATGTTAGACCAAGAACCACTGTTTTGTGTAGGGTTTGGTGTTCTTCTCGAAAAAAATGTAACCTCGGCTTTGGTGCTTGTTTGGTCAGGCAAGCTCTGAGGCTCCTAATGTAAATTCAATTAAAAACTCTTTTAAAAATTGAAGCAATTTGAAATTGGAAAACTGTATCAAGGGTAAAAGGGTATATATGTGTATGCATATGAAGTTGGGGTTTTCTACATTATTTGAGGGATATAAGTGGGGTTTTGGTAGTGGATTAAGGGTATAAATGGAAACCAGAAGAGGACAGAGGTTGCTTGCGCAAATCTAGCTAATATGGGGCTTCTGTAGCAAGCAAAGGTGGAAAGGGTGTTGTTGACGAGGAACACTTACATGAAACGTTTGCTATCCTCGGTTAATCACGGTATGTCATGCGTAATCACTTTTATACGTGGTAGTTTGTGATTAGATGGAGACAGCAAAACAATATCATTTCCGTTTCATACAAGTTTTTTTGAGGCCGCAGAGATGAGCGTGTGAGAGAGAGAGAGAGATGGGGGGGTTAAGTTTAAGGCAAAGGGAAAACAACATTTCCATGCTCAAAATCGTACAAAGCAGAAACCCTTCTTTAATTTTTCTCTTTTCTTTCTTTCTTTCCCTTTCTCACATTTATTTGGCCTCATTATGTTTAGACAGACGGAAACAGCAGAAGGACACAACACAAATCCAAGGCAACAACCCACCCCACCCCCCACCCCTCTTTCATAATTTGCTCCTCAGCTTCTTCTTTTATTTTATACAATTCATGGTCTTTTTTTTTGGACAAACAATTCATGGTCATTGTTTTGGCATTTACTCACCTACCCACAAGTTCTTTTTCAAAATGCTCATAAACCCAATTTTTATTTTTGGCCACATACTTCAAAAAAAGGGGGCACCTTTTATCTCATTGTGGTTTTGTGTGTGTGTTATTGCCTATAATCTTAGGCTTCTTCTGGTGCTGACAGCAAGTTTGGTGGTGGAGCATGGGGGGGGCTATGGCTGCAATTTCCTGGAACGTTGAAGAATCATGCTTTCAAGTGTTTTTGCTGAGAAAGTTTGTGGAGAAAGTTGTTTTCTTGGACTCAAAATGTGAGGGGTGGACTGGTAGAGGAAATCCCATTTCCAAATTCCACCACTTGTTGCAGCAAGTTCTGATCTCCTTCCTCATGATCTGCTTCTTTGGCTTTTGATGGTGTTGGTGGTGTTCGTGATATTGGCTGGACGGCTCAATCTTTCTGTATTTTTTTAGGATTTAATAATTTGTTTTATTTTCCTTTATTTTGCTTTATTTTCACTCATTAATTAAGTTTTTGGCTCCTCATTCTGTTTATATGGAAAGGGTATTAATCAAATTCCATTTATTATGTGATTTGAGGAAATTTGGGAATTATCAGATTGGTGATGGTGCTGGTGAGTAACTTAAAAGTTTTAATTTTCATGTCCATAATAGTATGCAGAAAGTTCAATGCATGAGCACTACTGTTTTTATAACCAGTTCAAATTTACTATCAGTCTTCGCTTCTGCCACTCAATTTTATTATGGGGTTTTCTTGGGGTATGTGGGGGCTTTGGTAGTGCATGTTCACATGTTCAAATACACTTCCCTGGATTTACATTTTAATTTGGCTTAATTGTTGTGGTTCTTAAACTTTGACCTCCCAACGATTGACCCCAAAAAAAACATGGCAAGAAAAAAGAGAGAGAGGGGAGATGGGCAATGAGCCGCTCAATAGCAAAGGGGTAGGGGGGGGAAGGGGATATCGAGGGATGTAACTTGAGGGTTTTGTAAAAGTGAGTAATTGGGGTTTGAAGTCAACAATTGCAGCTTTGCCCAACTTGATTTCTCTTCCATAGTTGTCTTGGACACCAAAAATTTAAAGTTGATTGATGGTGTGTGTTTCTTTTAGTTTGGATTTATAAACATGGGAACTTAAAGGACTCGTTTAATAATCATTTTATTTTCACTTTTTTGAATAATTGAAAATTGAAAACATGTCATGTTCGATAAATATATATCCCATTTTAGTCGCAAAACTCAACATTTGGAACCTCCCAGTTGGGACTAGGCCGCGTGACTCTTGCGTTTGGCCATAGGCCAAGTTTGACTTTCTAGATCTCTAAATCCAAAATTCACTTAAAAGTTCATCTAAATAGTAAAAAAATCAACGAAAATATGGCAAACTCCTTGTGACATGCAGTTTCATTCTATAAATCTCAAATTCACAATTTGATCTCAAGAAAAATCTAATTTCTAAGGTATACTTCGAAGTTTGAGAACAACTTAGCCAAGTCAAAAGTGAAATTGTAATTTTGGACTCGCCACCTTAAGCAATCGGACCTACACAGTACCCATCGACTCCGGAAATAACAAAAACAAAAACTGAAAAAGTGGAAACAATTACCAAGTAACTTTTAAATAGTTCTTAGTTAGAAGACAATTAGAGTACAATTAAGCCTTTTTTATTTTCGGAAAATCATCTTCCATATTCAATGATAATATTATTATTATTATGAAAAAATTGCACAAATGCCACTTGGATTTCTGGGAGGGTTGGTTGTAATCTTCTTAGTTTGGATGGATGCAATTTTCCCATTATTTATCAACTTTCTCAATTTTGGTTTGAGACTGAGAGAGAGAGAGAGAGTGTGGTGGCTTTGTAAATGCTTGTATGGGTTGGATAGTGAGGTGACAACGCAACAAGTGGAGTCCAGAGAAACACTGAAACTGGGGTCTAGGGCTCCTAGGCTTAGGCACTATCTATCTTACAGGCATAGGTAAACAACCACTGAGAGAGAGAGAGAGAGAGAGAGAGAGAAACAAACAAAGGCAAAGACAAATAAAGAATGGAAGGCCCTCATATTCATAGTCCATGGAAGTGTCCTATCAATTGTGTGCACTGCAATTTGGGATTTTCTTGGTTTTTGGTTTTTTATGCACGTGAAAATACAAATCTATTTTATTTGATAAAAGGCTAATTTATAGAATTCCCCTTTGAACTTGTATCTAATTATTAATTTACAATCAGATATTTTTAAAAAAAAAATTAAGGACTCAAATTAATTTTTATTATCAATGTTACCCATACTGTCTAAATCATCAACATTTCATTCAAACTTCACTCTAAAAAAAATTAAAAACATAAAATAGAGGGGGAAACAAAAAAGGGGATTAATCCCTTCACACCTGGAGCAACCCCTTCCCACCGAGTGCAGTTTTCTTGTTACCATTTTTCCTATGCCTACCTGTTACCCATCTAACTTTTTGACATCTGTTCTTTCATTTCACTCGAAGTTAACAGTGTTAAGTTTAATTAAATTAAAAAATGAAAACTGAAAATTGAAGGGAAAAAAAGACCCAAGAGCGAACTCCCTCCCACCACCCCTAGCCGGCAGCAACCCCATCTCCTTCTCACCGCCAGCAAAGCGTCCTTTTCTCTACCTCTGCCCCCCTTCTCTCTCTCTCTCTCTCTCTCTCTCTCTCCCCTTTGATTTCTCTGCTTCCCTCTCGATCTCCCTCTCTTTAAAAAAAAGAGCAGTGCTCGATTGACGTTTCCTTGACCTTATCACCATCCAATTTTCTATCCATTTTTAAGTGTATTTTAGTTTTTCCATTTTCAAGGGTATTTTTGCATTTTTAAAATACCCTTGAAAATGAAAAGACTAAAATATCCTTAAAAATGGATGGTATTTAGGGATGGCAACGGGCCGGGTATGACAATCCCATTCCCGTCCTCGCTCTCCATCCCCGAACCAATCCCCGTTTAATAGGTTTCGGGGAATCCCCGTCCCTGTCCCCGTCGGGGGACTATCCCCATACCCAACCCCGAATCCCCGAAATTTTTTTTTTTGCATAAAAAAATATTATCATACATTTTAACATTAAGTTTCATATTAAATTATCATTCAACACATCCAAACTAACTATAAAATTCAACTTAGCTATTCAAAATCACATCAATATGAAAATCCAGAGAAGATTAGGGAAAATTTGGAGAGGGAGGTTAACTTAGAGTTAAACATAAATATTATAATTATATATATTATTTATTTATTTAAATATAAACATATATATTTTCGGGTCGGGTTCGGGGATGGGGACGCCAATACCATCTCCTCCCCATATCCGTCGGGGATTTTTCAAGTTCGGGGATCCCCGTACCCGTTACCCGTTTGGCCCCGAAATCTCCCCTCGTTAGGGTCAGGGACTCGCCCTCGTGGGGATTTTTGCCATCCCATTGGTATAAAAGTCAGATGACAAATAATGAATTTTGAAAAATTAAGATGATATTTCTATTAAATTTTTCTTTAAGGTGACAAATTGAAACTGATGTATAAATTCAAGTGATATTTCTACCAAAAAAAAACTCAATTTTCTATAAATAAATAAAAAAAAGTCATTGGGTAAATTGATAATTAGGTACAAATTCATGGTACAATTTGGCAAAATACCCTTGATAAAACACATAAGCTTTCAAATCTTTTCAGTGGGACCTAGGAATTTCGTAATTTCGTGGAAATTAACGATTTTTGGCATTTTTATGCTTTAAATCCAATGGTGATATCATGCCCCCATAATGTTTCTCAATTGTCGGTTTTTTCTTTGGGTTCCTTTTTCTTTTCTTATTTTTATTTTATTTTTGGTTCTACAAAAAGAGGGTAAAGGTAAGAAGTGTTCGAACCTGACTTCAAATATGGTTTTATTCATTTTATTTATTTATTACGGGAAGTGTCTAAAATTTGGTGCAATAAGTTAGGCCCATTGTCATAACCAGCTGACTTAACATTAGACCTGTAAATGGATCAGAGATAGAGCAGAGGACCTGAATCTGACACAACTGGATTTCAACACAATTCGATTCGAAAATCCGATGGAACTTTCACAACTACATACATATTCGATTTGTTGAATTATCTTATATCAGATCAGATAACCAATTCTGAATTCTTTAAATTACAAATAGTTTTAAAATATTGTTATTTATTTGCAAAAAAGAAATTTACAATATTATTACACATGCATATATATATATATATATATATATATATTAAGTAAGTAAAATAAAATACATATTAGATGAAATTAAATTGGATTAGATAAGATCCAGATTAACTTTATGAATAAACGAATTCAGAACATAATCGAGTTATCGAATTTTTTTTTTTTGGTCAATAAGAACTTTCATTAACAAGAGAGCAACCCAACAGATTACAACTCAAAGAGAGGAAAGCAAAGCCATGCGACAGAAACAGAAGTGCATGCACAGCAAAAATTCAATAGACCCATACAAGCTGCTACAAGAAAGAGCCCCACAGTGTGGGAGTGGTTCGACAATCCAGAAATAGAGAGTCTTGGCCATCTTGAACAGCACAAGCTATGTGGAGGCTGAAGGAGGGCAGGGAAGGCCGTCACGGTTTAAGATATGCACAAGAGAGGTGGGGGGCCTGGATACCCAGACTTCCGGACTCGACCTCGATAGTGCCAGCGACGCAAGGTGATCTGCCGCTTCATTGTTTTTTCTACTGGTCCAAACCCAATTACAGTTTGAGAAATTGGAGTTGCATTCACGGATCCTTGATAGAAGTGGATAGAGGTTCCATCTTCCACGCTTTATGTTTCCTTTCACGCTCTCGATCAGTTCTTTGGAGTCAGATTCAAAGCAAACCTCTGATAAGCCCAGCTCATATGCCCATTTGCAACCCTCAAAACCAGCAATTGCCTCAGCCATGATCGCAGAATCCGCATGGAAAGATAGGCATTTCGCTCCCCTGAACTCACCATTGGCATTTCGTGCAATAAGACCAGCTCCTGCTTTGCCAGAGGATGCCGACCAAGCAGCATCAAAGTTAACTTTAATAACATGGGCTTCCGGTGCAGTCCAAGAGGTAGGACTTGGAGGGGGTCCGTCGCAAGACCTCCTCACGATCTTTCTGCTATTCAACACGGCCAGCTCCTCCACTTGTGAAAGAATGGTTTTGATGGCCAAAAGAGGTTGTGGTTTACATAGATCAAACACAAAACGATTCCTATTTCCTCCTTAGTTTGGAGCCCATCCGTGGTACATTTCAGCAACCATTGGTCAAAGGTGGTAATTCCCTGTTTGTCAATTTTATAATTAAGAGGGCCATCGAATTATGCCACCAAATCCATCCGTTCAAATATTACTTTGGAGTTAGAATATTGAATCAAAAAATAAAATCCCCAACACCCAACCACCTTTCCCAAGTCCCAAGATATGGGATGAAAAAAGTTGCGGGCAGCTGACAACAGCAAGCAGGGGACTGTGCCTTATTGGACTTTTTGGTCACGACTGTTCCTCTCGAAACCCCAACTGAATGAAGGGGGTAATCAGCAAATGTAATCCAAATAACCGAAACCAGTTGAAAGCAACAGGTCTTAAACTGTTCTCAACAAGCTATATCTTTTGTTTTGGTTTTTTACTTGTTTTTAGATAAACAGAGCAACTAAACCAAGCTATACTTTAATTGTCAAATTGTTTCAAACATACTCTTTAATAGTAAAAGTCACTCATTTCATTCATCCTTATTTTACCCCCCGATGAAAAAAAATGAATAAAGTGTTCAATTACTTCGAATGGAAGCTAGTTGTAACATTCTTGATCAAATTACTATCAGACCTCTATCATGTTCTATGGTTTTACATCAACAGATTATTAAATAATAAGCCATTTGCCTTCCACCAATAAAAAAAATGGTTATGTCGAGGAAGCAGTTCCCTAGGTTTAGCTTTTTCGCATATAATCTACTTTTCTATTAAAGATGCTTAAATTTGAGAAATCTACTAAGAACCCCTTAAATATGTCAGGATTATCAGGATTGTGCAACCTACGCCAATTGTCCAGGCAATCCTATAGGCAAATAATCCCCACCCAAACCGTGGAAAAGATGAACATCGGGAAACATTAGTTTACCTAATTTGGATTTCAAACCCATTAAGATTCCAAAGGACAAGGGTGCACCATTCGTATTGACTAAGAAGGAACACCTATTTGGTTATCACAATGCACCTTGCTAAGAACCATACCAGGTTCTTTTATTAGACTAAGGCTGCATTTGTGCAGGCAAGAAAAAGAGTCTGGGAGCTGATTTTCCACTTCTCTTTTCTGCACTTACACTCCCTTTTGCGTTTTAATCAATTTTGTTTCTTTTTATTATTTCTCTTTCTTATTCTACCCTTTTGATCCAAAAACAAGAAAGAGAGAAAAGAAAAAAAAATGACGCAAAGAAAAGCCTGCAGGTCAGCCACACCACCACCCCCACCAGCCCACACGCCAACCACCACACTCATCCCCATCTCCCCAACCCAGTAATTAATGTAGGTAAGGGTAGAATAGGAAAGAGAGTGAACAAAAATGAACAAAATTGATTAAAAAGTATTAAAAAGCAAAAGGGAGTGTAAGTGGAGAAAATGGATTATTTTGTTTCAAATACCATAAAGTCCTCGTGCTTTGTAGAGAACAAGTCTTCTAGAGCCAGAACTAATATACCACCAAAAAAAAAACCCCCACTTGATCCAGAATCGAAACCAAGACAACCCAGAATGATGCATCATTTCAATTGTAACCCACAATAACAGTTTATCCTGGCCCAAACTTAGGACGAATCTCTCACAACATGACTTCTGCAAGAGTTCAAAGTTCTACTCGTGATTTCCACATGTTGCATATATGACTCCTCTATGCAGAGGCTTTACACAGACTTCAACCAAAACATTTTTTATTTCACCCCACCAATTTACTAGAGACATTATTCCTCACAGTTAGATGTCAATAACGAATCACTTTCTTCATCATTACACATAATGTAAAAATCCTTTCCATCTAATAATTTCACACCAGAAACAATTTCAAACCAGAATGATTATAACCTCTCCATATATCATATTACTTAAGCTCTCTATTTCTGGTTTATTGAGCTAGAATAGTTTACAAGACTACGAATACCAAAAATAATGTCAAAAGCTACATATTAGAATGCATATCCAATGCTTTTTTCTTTTTCGGATAAGAAGTATACAATGTGATGATGCTTTTCTCATAAATTTCAGATAAAGGAAACCCCTAGGCTGAAACACAAGCCAAGCCGTGTATCTTAATACAGACAGAGAATTCATAAGAAACAGTTTTCTCAACAGAAAGAAACGAAACAAAACAAAAGTGCACCAATATGCTATCGTGATGTTACAAAACAGAAACAATGATGTGGAACATAAGTGGCAGCTGCCATTAGAAGCTTATCCCAGGCGTAATAAAGAGAGCGTTAAGTCTCAAACCCTAATCATGTTGGATAATGTTGGGTCTATTTGAGATATTACATAATTGGATTTGAGTTGAGGTTACTTCATTATGGTGTTTTTTATATATGTTAATGTATCCAAGGTTTCTCTTATGCTTTTTCTGGACTCTTTTGATTTTAGCGTTATGTGAGTTAGGGGCATTTTAGTACTGTCATCACCTAGGGTTTTTCTTAGCTTTAGAGAGAGTTTGATGATTGAATAATCTTCTCAGAGCTTTGCTTCTCTCTAGGTTTGTGTGATGCAACCCGACCCTAGGTGTGATGCGTAAGGCCTCTAGGATAGGAGTGATTCCTATAACCCTGCTTTTATTTATAATTTTCTCTCCTTGTTCCATAGAGTTTCCCTATTGATCTTACTCTCCACAATCTTACAGCAATCAAAGAATTGACTTTGAACATGCATCAATCTTTTCTACATATTCTCTCCCACTTGTCCTGCATCAAACAATTGTTCAATGTTTTACAACACCAACGCTAGCATATAACATGAGATAAAGAAAGACTATCCTTCTCTAGTCAATGGAGAGACAAGAACTTAATAAGCACATAAGGAACTCTAATTATTCAGTACTAAGGACATTGATGAGAAAATAATTTGCACAGAATGTGGAAAGCATGAGCATGATTGTAAAGGTTTCACTATATTCCACTTCAAAGTAGCCCAAGGCCTGCGATGATAAGATACTAGGTGAAAATAAATAGCCAAAAATAAGGTTGATGACAGAAGAAACCATATTGATGTGTTTCAGACCACAGTCAAAGGCCCATGTGGTGAATAAGTAATAAGTGAATAATTAGATGGCATACAAGTAGCAATTAAGAGACTCTCTAGCCTACACTTATGTTATGAAATGATCCCATACAGTCTGGCATCACAGGATTCCACAGTAATTTCCATCCATGTGTATTTAGCCAACATGGAAATTCAGAAAAACAACAGCAAAGCCAATAAGCAAGCATTGATCAACATCAATTTTATATAATAAAAATTGGTAAAGAGTTGGATCATCAAAGTAAATAACCATCCGACTTGAAATGACCACAAAATCAAATAATTTTATTTATTTAATTAAATTTCTCTCTCTAATTTGCGTTCCATGGTTGTTCCTTCCTAGTTTTCTTTTTCTTCTTGTTTTTACATAGAATATGCATTTGGGGGGTAAGTCTATGACCCCTGAAATCACATCCTGACTATGGGGTGTAAAGAATTTACATGGTAAATCCAGATTTGAAAAATTCAAGCAAGCAACACTGGGAACAATTGAAAACACAGAAAAATTGTTGTCAATCACCATATTGTGAAAACAAGCAAGCATTAACCAAAACCAATTTTATATAATAAAAGCACTAAAACAACATTTAGTAACCTAAAATAGTTCTGTTATATAGAACCAAATAACAATAGCTCACTCAGTTCTAAAACAACAAATTCACAGATAATTTATTCCACATAAATGATACATAATGAACATCCAAGTAGGCTCCTGATGTTAATGTAACAACAATAACAAGTTCAGGATGATGACATAACAAGAACTAATAGTGCATGATAAATAAAAAAATCACAACCAATGCAATCACCTGCATTATCATTGCTTGACATTCTCCAAGTACCACTTATAGGTATCAACTAGACCATCCTTGAGAGAGATCTTTGGGGTCCAACCCAACCCCGCCAGCTTTGAGCTATCCATGAGCTTCCTCGGAGTTCCATCAGGCTTGGAAGAGTCCCAAACAAGCTCACCCTCAAACCCAACCACTTCCTTCACCAACTCAGCCAACTCCTTGATAGTCACCTCCTTGCCACTACCCACATTGACATGCTCTAGCCCACCATAATTCTCCATCAAGAACACAACCCCATCCGCTAAGTCGTCAACGTGCAAAAACTCCCTCAAGGGGCTTCCAGACCCCCACACCACCACCTCCTTCGCACCCTTTACCTTTGCCTCGTGAAACCGCCTCATCAATGCCGGCAAAACATGGGAATTCTCGGGGTGAAAGTTGTCATGTGGCCCATACAAATTGGTGGGCATCCCCGAAATCGCATCCCAATTGTACTGAATCCGGTAAGCCTGGCACATCTTGATCCCGGCGATCTTGGCAATCGCATACCACTCATTTGTGGGCTCCAGAGGGCCCGTTAACAATGCGCTTTCGGGGATAGGCTGTGGAGCGAACTTGGGGTAAATACAAGAGGAGCCGAGAAACAAGAGCTTCTTCACTCCGAATCGGTACGAGGCGTCGATCACATTGGTCTGGATCTGGAGATTGACGGCGATGAAATCTGCCGGGTATGTGTTGTTGGCGTGAATGCCGCCAACTTTTGCCGCGGCGAGGATGACGAATTGGGGCTTTTCGACTGTGAAGAAGGACTCGACGTCGTTTTGGCGAGTGAGGTCCAGCTCGGCATGGCCGCGGAGGACGAGGTTGGTGAACCCTAGGGCTTGGAGCTTGCGGACGATGGCGGAGCCGACAAGTCCGCGGTGACCGGCGACGAAGATCTTCGCCGATTTGTCAGAGAGGGCGGAAGGCGAGGTGGCATCTGCAGAGAGAAGGAGAAAGAGATATTGCAGTTTGCAGTACGGAAATTTGATTGAAGTGTGTTTAGTTTGTTTGGCTGCTGAGAAAATGCGCATGGGAAGAAATAAATTTGTTCAAGTGTATTAGATTAGTTTTTTCTCAGCGACCAAACAGAATGCAAGGAGAGAGAGAGAGAGAGAGAGAGAGTACCGTCAATGGCGCCACTCATATTGTGAGATGTATTGCTTCAGTACTGCAGCAACTCTGGAAGAAAACGCTACCTAACAGAGAACTCGGCCGACGCCGTAGAAGAAAAGTGAACTGATCCCAACTATATTGTTTCCTATTTTATTTGTGAGATTGTTATGAAGGGCCGCCCAACTTTATTGTTTCCTATTTTATTTGTGAGATTGTTATGAAGGGCCGCTTGGTTGATGGGAAATTGGGTTTGGGAAATTTCATAGGAGATGAGATGGTTGCCTCGTTGGTACACGGACAAAATAGGGGGAAATTTCATTTTACCTTGGAAACTAAGGCAACAATAAATGCATATTTTTCATGATCATTTTGTCCTATTAACAATTTAAAATGAGTGCTCCTATTTCTAATTTTTGTCATATTTTCCCGCTCACCATGTAAATTTGAAAAACAACAATTCTATCTTTCCACCCACAATTATTCATAAAATACTTTTAATTATTAGGAAAATTCACTATTATACCCAATATAGGAGCCCAAATTATAAAAAAAAAACCTATATGAAATGGACTTTGGAAACACACCCAAAGCCCATTTGCAACATAACAAAAAGGCTTTTAACTTTTTTTAAATTACAAAACTGCCATTGATTTCTTAAAACAAACTCAATCCCAAAACCTCATACAAAATCTCAAAACACTCAATAGGACATCAAAGTAATTTAATAATCAAAATTAAATTCAATAGGGCCAGCTGTCATTTTTTGGGTTTTTTTGGGTATGTTTATAGAAATTAAATGGTGTATGGTTTATTTATGGTTTTAGTGCTAAGAATGGGTATATGACTAAATATCTCTAATTATTAATTCAAGTAAATTCTCCACCCAATCACTTATGGACAACTGTCAATCAATTTGAGACTTAAAAAAATACAAAATTTCACCTCAGCAGCTCTTCTCCGTGTCCCTTGCCCCTCCAACTCAAACCCCTGTCATTCACTCTTATATCTCCCTTATTTCTCTATCTTTTCACCATCTCTCCATTTCTTCCCCTGCAACTCAAATCATCTATTTTTCTCTCTCTACTCAACGACCCTCTCTCTCATCTCTCCCCCTCTTTCTCTTTATTGGCGCCATCAACGATGGAGGACAACAAGGTCACGGGCCTCAAGATATGATATCAGACACCTCAGAGTTGAAGGCTGACAAGGTTGCCGAGCTCTATCGTTGCCAACACAGAAGAGAGAATATATATATATATATATATATATATGTCAAATTGTAGAATAGGTGAGTTGTGTGAGTTTAGGGTTTTTACCCTAAGTCCTTAGAAGTCATTTTTCGACGGGGTAAATTTGTCTTTAAAATTTTGAAGATAAGGTGGATGGGGAAATAGGACAGAGGGTGGAAATAGTAGCACTCTTTAGAATTTCAATATAGCATTAAATGCATTTTTTTAATTATATCTAATATGGGTATAATTAGAAAATTAAACAAGTTTTGTTTTACATTCATACGCAAGCCAAACATGGGGACATTCTTTATTATATTTTATCTAATATGGGTATAATTAGAAAATTAAACAAGCTTTGTTTTACATTCATACGCAAGCCAAACATGGGGAAGAAAATAAAGTGGTATTTTCTGGTTATTTTCCAATAATACCAAACATAAGAAATGAATCTTCCATTTCCCAAAGATGGAAAATTATTTTCCATCAAATCTTTTCTGCAAACCAAATAGGGCCTTTGAGTTTGTGCCCAAATTGTACCTGCGGGCCCGCTACCGTGCCTGTGATGACAATAGCATCTCCAACAATTGCCAAGTTGTTTTTGTTTGGCTTAATTGTTGTAAGGCTTATTTACTGTAGTATTAAATATCGATAATATCCCCGATATTATCCCGATAATATCTGATTTTTGGGGGTCCGATATTTTAACAACTAACCATAGTGTTATCGTCAATATATCGATATTATCCCGATAATATCGAGAAGATATTTTCAACATTTTTATGAATGATTTGGGCAATATATCGAGATATTATCGATAATATCCCAATACGAAACCTAAAAATATTTATATACATGGTATTTGTGAAAACCATTTTACTCCTTCAACACCTTAACCACCATATCACTTATGTTTTTGTGAAAATA